AATATAAAGAATTATAGCAGACATATTGATATAAAAATAAATATAAAAGTCATTAATGGAAACACATAATAAAGAAAATATAAGTAGTCATTCATCCCTTGTTCAATTAATTAAAAAAATCAAATAAGATACATTTAGTCACTATCACTCTCGGTTAAGTAATTTGGAACTTCTTCTTCCGATGTTTCCGTTCCATCAAACTCTTCCTCTTCATCGTCATCCTCACCCACACATTCTTCCTTTGTCACATATGGCAATTGCATGACCTCACTAATCACCACTTCTTCTCCCCCTTGAGATGCTAGTGAAACATGATCATTTAAAACAGTCGAGGATTGCACCAATTGTGGCATAGGAGGATCATCATCTTGATAATAAACATTTCCACCATCACTCAACGATGAAGTGTCGATTATTGCTCTTGCTCTAATCTTACATGCAGCAAACCACCCTTTTCTACAAGGATTTTGAGATGGGTAACAGGCATAAAACACTTGTTGAGCTTGACTGGCCAATATGAATAGTTCATCTGTTTGTAATTTAAACCGAGGATTTATGTGAACTATACCAGATGTCGGATGGACCACAATACCTTTGTTGATATCATACCACTCACACTTGAACAAAATCACTGATTGATGAACATATGAGTCAAAATAATGAAACTCAATTATTTCCTTCAAACTCCCATAATAATCTGACTCATCATTGAAAGTGGTTCCCTTCACACAAACACCGTTATTCATGGTCTTTTTATTTTGTCCATATGCGATAGTATGAAACTGAAATCCATTAACCCAATAACCATTGTATACCCTAACGTTATTGACTAGGCTAGTTACTAAAGGCAAAAGGCGAGAATCAACCTCATATCTTCCACTATGCACCTAGATTTGTTATAAAAATATTTAATATTTAATCCTAAAATATATAAAAATTGAGATCTTACTAATAAAGATTATTAAAATAAATTACTTACTATTGTCTTAAACCAAGGAATAAATTCAAATTGTCGTTTGATTTGAATTTGATCCTCTGATAGACCGGAACATACTTGATAATCAAAAAGCCTACATGAAGAAGTTGGAGTAAACAATCTAAACATACTAGTAACTTAAACATATGAAAGTTAGAACTAGAGAACATACGCAATCCATGGATTAACTTCTTCACAATTAAGCAAAACATAAAGTTCTGCTGCCTTTAATTCTTTGGGTGACAATGCACGCATATGCATTTCTCCACCTAGTGGTTGACCTCAATGTTTAAAGACAGACAAACAATTATCCATATCATCATTCACGTCGACAATGTTTCTTGGTTGACGATTCAATTTTGTCTCTATGTTAGATCCAAAATAATGCGAGCAAAAGAAGGAAATTTCTGAAAGAATATTAGACTTGCAAATTGAAGCTTCAACACAATTTTTGTTCAACACTGTTTTCTTAAGGTTATGCATTTTTCTGTTAAACAAATAAGAAAATTAATTAATAACATTAAATTATTAAATATACTCATGAATGTTATTGTGATGCAAATATATATTAAAAGAAATATACCTTTCAAAAGGATACATCCAACGAAATTGGACAGGTCCTCCAACTTTTGCCTCATATGGTAGATGGATAACCAAATGCTCCATTGAGTCAAAGAATGCTAGCGGGAATACTTTCTCTAACTTGCAAATGGTCTCAACAATTTTTTCCTCCCACATCTCCATGTTACTGACTTGAATAATCGGAGCAGTTAAAGCTCTAAAAATGTTACTCATTTCAATTAAGGGATCCCAAACTTCATCTATGAGGAAATCACGGAAAGCAATTGGCAAGAGACGCTGCATGAATACATGACAATCATGACTTTTCATCCCAAACAATCGAAGTTCCTGCATGTTAACACATTGTGCTATGTTGGATGCATA